AGATGATTCCCTTTTCAGACACTGGGCTGCTGAGCTGCTCAAAAGTCTCTCGGTCCTGGATCCACTGCCAGAGCCTTACAACTTTCCAAACCCCCCATCCCTCCCTTCTCCTCACTCCTTTCATTCCTGACTCTGGGTTTTCATCCTGGAAAGCAAATCCTGTTTGGGCCGTGGCCCTCAACTGTGACAGGCTCGCCCTCAGTGGAGCAGCCCACACAGGGCACTCTCCGGGGGCCCTTGGCCAACTCTTGGCTACTGCCAGACTCTTTGGGAGTAGACTTTTTCTCTTCCAAGGCTTGAATGACATCTTCAGGAGCTCGGGGAATTCTCTCAATTGTCTCACTCGTTCTCTTTTCTTTCTCCTTAAATGAATCCAGGAGTTTTCTATGGCTGTTAGGAAAGGGCTAACTTCCTCTTTTCCACAGGGAACTCTTTATGTTGGACCTATTTGGAGGAAAAACACAATTTATAGAAAAATCACTTTCTCCTTGCGAAACTTATTTTAAATAAAGAAGAAATAAAAGAAGATAGTAAGTACTTTACACAGTGAAGATTATTTATTAGCACTTCACTGGGATTAAACCAAGTACCTTGAGATCGGTGAGAATTTTTTCAATCCATGTTGTCACAACTACTATGCCTTCCACTGTCTCAGAACCCAAGGATGAGGCTTTGAGAGATAATTCTTTCATCACAGACTCCAACACTACAAATGTAATGGGTTTCCTTGGCTTCTCTAATTTTCTTCGCTTACTTGGTGGTGACTGAAAGAAAAAGGCATGAAGAAGAGAAAGTTATCCAACTAACGAAATTTCATGCATTATGATGAACTCACCAGTTGAAAAAATTTTCCTATTTCTGCTACCAAATGCAGAGCACTAAAAACACAAAATCCTTTGCACATTTATTTCAAAAACTTACAACAACCCTGGAAACTAGCTTTCCATCTTCCCACTTTACAGAGGGAAAAACTAAGACAGAGGTTATATAATCGGTTCCAAGTCAGACAGCTAGTAATTACAAAATTACTATTTGAACCCAAAACCCAGGTAGCTTTGCCATACCATGCTGCCCGTGTTCTGGCCAGCAGTACGTACCTCCTCCATTACTAACTGTTCTTAATTTACCTACTCTGCCAAAGCAGACCTTAAAATTATTCTTTTCTGTAGCAACTTTAGAAACCTCTGGGGGGCACTGTGTTCTCTCCTATAAAGAACTGCATGGCTTAAAAACCACTAACTGCTAGTATGAGTTTATACTTGCTGAGGCTTGACAGAAGCAGTCAGTTACAGCTTGTGAGATCACAGCAAGGAATGGCAACAGCCACTAGGATGGAGAGCAGGGGAGAGGCAGATTGCTGAATCTTGGCTAAAGTTAGGGCCAAGTCAATGGCTAGCCGAGCATTGCAGCTCAGCCAGGGAGAGTGGATATGAGGATATCAGTACTAATGGGAACAATGGATATAAAAGCTGATTCCACATAAATTTTGTTTTCTTTCTTTCTTTTTTCTATTTCAAGCTTGAAAAGTGAATTATATTCTCCCCACTAGGGGGACTCAGGTTCCATTAAAAAAATCAAATGACACAACTATTTTTACAATTGCTTTCTTTAAAGTTTAAACTTACTAAACATTTTTTGTAAGTATTGTTAGTGAATGTCAGATACATTATAGGCACGTGTTTTAAGAGATAAACTTGTACCTGCTTGATAAAACTTATCAAAACATTTAAATATTAATTCTCAGGTCAGGTTCAAAATAAGCATGTAAGAATTAAAAGGATAAATTTCCCAAAAGAGAAAACATCAATCAATTCTGAAGATCTTTCTTGAAAAAAGGGCATCTGATAATTGTGCTGCTACCTACAATTCTACCTGGAAACAGAGACAGAGTACATGCACCTATACACACAATAAAGTCCAATTACTGGGTAAGATTTTACAAGAATTAGCCAGCAACACCATATACTCCATAAATACATAAGATAGTTTACTCCAGGGCCTTCCCGGTGGCGCAGTGGTTGAGAGCTGGGTTGCGAAGCTGCCCGCAGCCTCTGCAGCACTGGTTCGATCCCCTGCCACTGGGCGAGGGTCCCACATGGCGCGCAGACCTCTCCTGCCACGCCCACTGCTCCCCTCAGCAGTGTATTTCGTCCATCTGCCTGTTCTGTTCCCCGCTTTTGGTGTGGTGAATTCTCTCACCCTCCCGCGTTTCTGACTGTACCCAGTGCTTGTATAAATAAAAGTAAATAATTTTTTTAATAGGATGTTTACTTTTTTTTTTTTTAAAAAAAGATTTATTTATTTATTTATACAAGCACTGGGTACAGTCAGAAGCGTGGGAGGGTGAGAGAATTCACCAGAGCCAGAGCGGGGAGCAGAGCAGGCAGAAGGACCGAAGCACACTGCTGAGGGGAGCAGCGGGCGGCAGGAGAGGTCTGCGCACCATGCGGGACCCTCCTCTGGTGGCCGGGGAGCAGCAGGGGATAGAACCAGCGCCACGGAGGCTTCGGGCAGCTTCGCAACCTAGCACTCAACCACTGCGCCACCGGGGAGGCCTGAAAAGTAAATAAATCTTAAAAAAAAAAAAAAAGCTTACTCCATGCCAGAAAACTTTCAAAGATTTATTTTTATGTCTTTATGCATACAAGATCTTGGGTGTAGGCTAGAGGTGCAGGGGGTGAGAAGATTCACCAGAGGTAGTGTGGGGAGCAGAACAGACAGATCTACTGAAATATACTGCTGAAGGGAGCAGTGGGTGAGACAGGAAAGGTCTGCTGCACCATGTGGGTTAGCTCCCTGGCTGGGGATCGAACTCATGCTGCAGTGGCTGGCAATAGCTTGAAAGAGTTGAGACTTTACCCCTTGTGCCACCAGGGAGGCTCCATGCCAGAAAGCTTGTAAAGTAGTATCAGAAACAGAATTTCTTTCTTTTTTTAAAAAAGATTTTATTTATTTTTATACAAGAACTGGGTACAGGAGAGGCGTGGAGGGTGAGAAGATTCACCAGAGTGGGAGCAGAACAGGCAGACTGACTGAAATACAGTGCTGAGGGGAGCAGCAGGCGTGACAGGAGAGGTCTGCCATGCCTTGTGAGTATCTCCCTGGCCGGCTAGAAGTTGAACCAGCGCTGCAGAATCTGCAGAGAACTTCACAGCACTGTGCTCAACCTGCTGTGCCACTGGGGAGGCCCAGAAACAGAATTTCTAAGAAACAATGTATACCTCCTCTTTATACCAGAAAGCAACTAATTGGAAAAAAAAAAAAAAGGAAACTAGAATAGTATCAAACACAAAGGGTATAAGAACCTGCTTGAGAAATTAATAGTGGACTCTAAGCCATGTCTGAGCCTGAACTTGTTCAGTTAATGTTTCAAACAAGATGATACAAATTCACATTGACATTAACACAGTAGTATTGTTATTACTCAATCATCCAACTTAAGATACAATATTTCTACAGTCCACTAAGAGCCGAAGACTTTACACTAAGGAGCTTAAAATATGATTATTAAGGTGGGGAGGAAGAAAGATGGTGGTGTGTAAGAGAAGAATGGGGGACAAGAATCAAATTTCCAATTTCACTTAACCAACACCCGAGGCTGTTACCTTGGAGAGGTCACAGTAACAGGGCCATCCCTAACAGCCATCCTAGCATACCAAAGGTCATCTACAAATATGGTTAAAAGGATATAACACCCCATCTCTCTTCTGACAGAGGATGACAGTCATTTGTGCCCATAAATTCCACCCAACAAATTGAATTGCTGTTTCTCATTTGTTGTGCTAAAGCTGGCCTGCAATATGTTCTCCGAAAGTTTAGAAAAGACTCAACATCATGTCTAGAACTTAAAGGAGAGATAAACCTAGTAAGAGTGCTATCAGACTCTACTTTCCAAGTTCTGAGGGAGTCAGAAACAACACAGACTATTACCCTGTTATCCCTGGAGGAAAATGAAGACTTCCCTATCTCAAAAAAGGCACCTGAGTGCCAATTTTCTACATACAACTGCCAATCAACAAATTTGGTATTTCTGAAGATTTTTACTTAACTGTTTTAACACACAGGTACACATACATAATCTCAGGATTGCTTTAGGATTTTACTCTACTATAGAAAATGAGTCACTCAAGAGACAGACAATTTATAATCTAGAAATTCCCAGGCAACATTCTTAAATGATTGAAGATTAACTTAAGCTTGGTTTACAGCAATTATTCCTCTCCCCATCTTGTTTGTACTGCAACAGTTAATACATGGGCAGGGTCAAGAGTAAAGTAAAGGAGATCTTGAGAAATTAATAGGTAAATTTAACTCCAGATCTCTAGTAGAGGATAATTTCATACCTTGCCACAACACTAGAAAATACAAGTTGTTTTTCCTCAATAGAGATGATCTTATTTTGCTAATATGCTTATAATCTCAAATCACAAATACAGAGTGGGGAGCAGAACAGGCAGACTGACTGAAATACACTGTTGAGGGGAGCAGTGGGCGAGACAGGAGAGGTCTACACTGGGCCATGTGGGTAGCTCCCTGGCCGGGGATCGAACTCATGCTGCAGTGGCTGTGGATAGCATCATAGGCTGTGTCTTAACCCCTTGCGCCACTAGGGAGACCCTCACAAATATTTTAAATGAAGAGTGCTACACTCAAACTGTCATAATCTAGTTTAGCAATCAAGGCAACAGAAATAATTCAACATTTCAAAGTGTTAAAAAAAAAATCAATCATTTATAATGGCTAATTAATGCAAAGAGCCAGAAGGTGAATTTACAACTTATTTAAGAATAGAAAATGTACTACTACACCACCCAGGTGAAATTCAACTGAAATTCAACTTGAAAAATTTGGTGGAGAGCTGCAAATCCTACAGGGGTTTTGAATTTTAAGAAAGTATCCAATGCATAATAATCAAAAGGGGGGGTGTGCTTTAAGTGTTATTTTGTGGCATTATTAAAAACACATCAGACTGAAACCAGTGGGCAAAATCATTCTTAAATTTTAAAATATGCTTCAGCTTGCAGGTCTGTCTATAAATTTCTCACATCCCAGTTCTTACTTTAATTTCTAGATCTCAGTGGTGCAGTCAAGAGAATTTCAGATGAGGTGTAACTTGACACAAATGTAGCATCTGTTATGCTGCCAAAGCTCTGCTGTGAACTAAAGCAAAAGCAAAAATTTTCAACAAAGCCACAAGCTGCATTAAATCATTAAGTTCTTTCTAGCATCTGCAGGAAAAGCAGAGTCACTCACTGAAGGCCATCTGAGCAAGAAGCCACACCACCCTTGTTTTGGTAAAGCTGCTTCTAGAATGGTCTTGAGGGGGTAGGAGTGCTCCTAGCCATTGGCTGGGGTCCATGCCATCCTCCAAATGGCTACTGCTGCAAGGCCTCCAAAAACAGGTAGAATGCCTAGGTGCTGAGAGTCAGTACAGGCTATCATTATTTGGAGACAAGGGGCCAACAATGATATCTCACAGCTAATACTGACAGACATCAGGTGTGCTAGTGTTAGGGTAAAGGATGTCCTGAGCAAACTCCATACAGGCTATGTGTACTCCAACCCCACTCCATCAAGACACTGGGAACTACAAATCCTATGATCACCAAAGGGAAGATTGCGAGGACCTGAGGGTGGGGTTAAGCAACTATGTTCACTGAGTATTTTACTGGCCATGTGGCTGGGGTGTCGCTCTCTTGGCCATGCAGCTCGCTTGGTTCTTCACCTGGTCAGCAGAACGGGTAGGACGCATTTATGAACTTAT